CTTATGGACAAAGGGCTTAGGCTGGAAGGCTGATCCTGCGACCTACAGCCACAGACCCTGCCAACAACCCAGCTGAGCCTCGGTTTCCTCCTGATTCGTGGAACAATGCCATCTCTCCTGGAGTTGTAGTGAGGGGCAAATGCAAGAGCACAAATGAAAGGCAAATTAGACACTGCTGTCTAAGTAAATTTCTAAGACGTGACTGTTTCAGGGTGTCCTGATTCCTCATGATGTGGCTGCTTGCACAGGTGGTGAGCAACAACCAGTCACCCAGACTCTGCCTTCAGGGACCTGCAACAGGGCGCTGAGCCCTGTGCTGAGCACTGTATCAATGGTCTGACTCCGATGTAGGCAGAATAGTGGCCCCCAAAGATGTCTGTGTCCTGTGATTATATTAGGTTACATGGCAAAGGGGAACTGAGGTTGTAGACAGAATTTAGGTTCCTCATCAAAAGACCTTAAAATAGGGAGCTTATCCTCAAATAGCTGGGTGGACCCCATGTCATCACAACAGTGTTTCTCTGGAAGCTGGAGAAGGCAAGTCAATGAATCTCCCCCTAGAACCTCCAGAAAGGAACGTATCCTTATTGACACCTTGATTTTAGCCCAATGGAACCAGCATCTGGCTTCTGACCTCCAGAGCTGTAAGATAATAAATTCTCTTGCTATTTTAAGGCACTAAGTTGGCGGTGATTTGTTATAACAGGCACTAATATGGTCCCTGGAGGGGGACACCAGGGCTTTAATGACACCCAGCTCCTACAAGATAAAAGCTCATAGTAATAGTAGGGGGTACAAAGTTCCACTTCCCCTCCCCTCTCCATGACCTTGGGGTAATCCTCATAAACTATCAATGGTAAGAAGAGATAATGTAGGGATCACCTGTGTGGAGTGTCCTCTGCCCCTCGTGACTACAGCTCCTCCTGTGCCCCCTTCCTGCCCTGCCCATGACCTCTGATCCACCCTGGACTCCAGGCATTTGAGACTTCACCTTAAGAATAGGCTATCCTGGGTCTCAAAAGGATAGTTTGGTTAACATACATCACGCACAGAGGGGCGCCTGGGTGGCTCAGTTGGTTAAGCATCTGCCTTCGGCTCAGGTCATGATCCTGGGGTCCTGGGATTGAGTCCCTCCTTGGCTCCCTGCGTCGGGCTCCCTGCTCAGTGGGGAGTCTGCTTCTCCCTCTCCCTCTACCCCTCACCCATCCCCACTCATGCTCTCTCTCTCTCTCTCTCTCTCTCTCTCTCTCTCTCGCTCCCTTGCTCTGTCTCAAATACAACAAATAAAATCTTTTTAAAAAACCCTACACATCACACACAGATAATGAAGTACATTAAAATAAATTAACATTAAAATTAATCATTTAATCTTGACATCCAAAGACCCCTCCATGGATGGGGCGTTATGATGAACATCAATGACCTTGCAGGTGAGGAGAAGTCAAAAAACAATCCCTGAATCCTCAGCCGTAACCAGGAAGTTGCTCTGATCAGTAAATCCTCAACATCAGCTTATTTACCTAGACCATTTGTCTCTTCCTATAAAGGACAATTTTGTTTCCTTGAGAGTAGATGGGGCTATTACCTACTTGAAAAGAATGGTGGAGAAAATAAAGACAGAGAATGTTTATAAAACCTTGTCTGACCTAGAAGAGTGGCCTAATACATGCTATTACTATCATTTTTAGTTTGCCCCCAAACATGTCAGCTACTTAGGAGTTTTAACTGTTGAGATTATGGGCAAATAAGAGTTACTTAATGCAGGAGTGTCTGGGTCGCTCAGTCAGTTATGCATCCAACTCTTGATTTTGGCTCAGGTCACCATCTCAGGGTTGTGAGATTGAGTCCTATGTCAGGCTCCGTGCTCAGCGGGGAGTCTGCTTCTCTCTCTCTCTCTCTTTCCCTCTGCCCCTCCCCCTGCACTCTCTCTCGAAAATAAATAAATCTTAAAAGAAAAGAGTTACTTAATGCACATTAACATTTGCAATGGTTTTCAGGTTGTTGGGCATTTACTATCTTTCTCAGTGGTCTCTCTTCGCATTCGAAGAAGCTTTAATTGGTCAAGTTAGCAAATCATGGTAGTAAAATTCTAAGGCACAAGTACCTTTCCAATCTACTGCAAAACTAAGCAGCAGGTACAAATACAAAGAGAAGCCTCAATTCTTCAACATTCAGGTAAATGGCCAGAGAGACAGTTGATTTACTGCACTTTAGTGGAGTTGATTAATTTTTAATCTAAAGCAAATGGCCACCTCTTAAAGCATTACTACTGAGGGGAGCAAAATATGCAACCCCAAAATATGTCACTTTGGCATGTTGATTTTTTTTTTTGCATATTAATTATTTGGAATTAAAGTTACTTAAAAAACAGTCGGTGCAAGAAGGACACTCTGATTTTCCTTTATCCCCTTAAAAGCAGGAAATAAATCTCTCCTGTGAAGGTATCCTCCCTATACCAGGAGGGTAAAGGGCATCTTTACTCAGAGATAGGAGATTCAAGGCTGAAAAGGCTGTATAAACAAACTTTGTTACTTCTTCATTCATTTGAGACCCCAAATTCAAATCCCCTTGTTTGGTTAAATCTCTGCAAATCATTGTTTCTATATCTAAAAGGTATGAAAGCTGCTTTCTTTGGTCACTTCTTTGAGTCTTATATTTTTATAAGCTCCTATAGGTACAAAATTAAATCTGTTTTTCTCCTGTTACTCTGTCTCATGTCAACTTAATTATTAGACCAGTGGAAGAACCTAGAAGGCAAGAAAGGAAAAGTTTTCCTCCCCTACACTACAATTTAGATCAGGTCCAATATTTTATGTATGTTATCCTTTTTTTTTTTTTTTAAGATTTTATTTATTTATTTGAGAGAGAGAATGAGATAGAGAGAGCATGAGGGGGGGAGGGTCAGAGGGAGAAGCAGACCCCCCGCCGAGCAGGGAGCCCGATGCGGACTCGATCCCGGGACTCCAGGATCATGACCTGAGCCACGCAGGCGCCCTTATGTATGTTATCCTTAACATACAACTCTAAGGGGTAGATATTAGAAGTTTTCCTTCTTAAAAATTTGCTGCCAACACTTATTTTTTTTCTAACCATAAAAGCAACCTCATAATTACTGAAGGACAATTGTGAATTATGAAAAAGCGTGGAAATTTTTCTACTACCCATTTACCATGTAACCATTGTTAATAGTTCCACTCTGTGCTTTGACTAACATAGTTTCTCTTAAAAATATCCCAGTTAGTTTTTTTTAATGGTTTATTACAAAAAAAATTTCAAGTAGTCACAAAAGAGATTAGTATAACATGGTGCTATTTTCAAAGGATCTGTGATGAAGGACCAGTTTCTATCTTTCTTCTTCTTTTTTTTGGGGGGGGTGGGGAGCGACAGAGGGCGAGGGTGAGAGAGAAGAGAGAAAGAGAGAATCTTAAACTGGCTCCACGCCCAGGGGAGCTGACATGGGGCTTGATCTCATGACCTGAGCTGAATCAGGAGTCTGATGCTTAACCAAATGAGCCTCCCAGGTGCCCCCACACCAGTTTATTTCTCATGCATCACACTGACCCAAACTTCAGTAAAAGACAATAAAAGATAATTACTAGAAAGAGGGGCATGGCCTCAGCTGTTGGGGCAATGTCAAATTGCAAAGTTTCTAAATATTTCTCTCCCAGTCGGACTCATGGCAGACAAGTCACAAATGCTGCATAGACCCCCCTCCCCCCCAGTGAGGGGTAGCACTAATATAAAGTAACCAACCAGCACTAAGCCATCACCCAGCTCAGGCAGTTACCAACATTTTGCCAAAGCCCAGATCCCAACTGAAGGAGGCCCAGGGAGGGCAGAACAGAGATTGCTCAAGACTTGAAGCTGGGGAGAGGTGAAGTCAGGATTCAAATCCATCTGTCTCAAAGGAAAACAACCATTTGGCCGGGAGCACACATCTTCATCTGCAAGGCTCCCCTTATCAAGGAGCTATGGAATTTAAGGACCTTTCTAAGTGATGTTGGCAGAAGAAACAAATCTAAACCACACCCTGAGCTTCACATGGGTGAAAACTTCTCAATTCTTGAGACTATTTGAGAGCTCCCCAACCTACCACAGTCTGTCCCTGAGAAAGAACCAGCAAAACACTTCCTCACTGAGGTCTTCTTTCCTTTTTCTTTTCCTTCTTCTTTTCTTTTCTTGGAGTTCTTAAATTTGGCTTATAAGTATGGGCGGTTAGTGTCAGAGGGAAGGAGGAGGCTGACCCAGGGAAGGCAGTGTCTGGATGGGAGCTGAGCTGGGATTAAAAGTCTGGTTCCAGTTGACTCCCTGCCATCAACACCAACACGACTGGGGGTCCGAGCATTTCTGAGTCCTGCCCTGAGTGCTGCCCACCCCCCATCTGTCCGATCCTAGGAAAAGGAGCATCTGGACTCTCACACTCACTAGCAAACGCACCCCCGCCCCAGTCAGAGTCACTTTTCCAGCCTCCGCCGCACGCAGCTGCAGGGAAGGAAGGCCTGGGCCCCGCTTCTAACTCAGGCCCCGGGGGAAGCAGGGGCTGCGGTCAGCCAGGCCAGGATGAAGAACGTGTGGCGGGCAGAGGCGGCCCTTTCCCGAGCCTTGCAGTCGCTCTTCCTTTGTTCACGCGGAGACATTCGCGGACCTCGGCCGCGCTCGGCTGCAGGGAGCGGCGGCGCGGGGGTGGGAGAAGACGAGCCGCAGAGTGTCCCGAGTCACGCAGGGGCAGAGGCAGCGTCTCGGGCCTCGAAGGGGTGATCCGGGGCGCGGGCGCCGGGAGGACCGACCGCCGTCCCGCGGCTGCTCGGGAGCCCGCGGGCTCCCCGCCCAGGGACTGCCCGGAATTCCCGGCCGGCCAGCCCACACCCCACACCCACGTCAGGCTTCGCGCAAGCCGCCCCTCCCCCGCCTCCACTGCGGGCTCTTCGCACCCCTCACCCGCGCGGGGCACCCCTCGGGTCGCAACCCGCCGCGACGACGCCTCCCCAGGCCGGGCTTACCTGCCAGGGCCGCGGCGGCGGCGCGGCCGCCGAGCAGCAACAGCAGCGGCAGCAGCAGCGACAGGAGCGACGGAGCGACGGAGGCGGCCGCATGGCCGTCAGGTCATGGCCAATTTTGTTCCTCTCATCCCCCTTTCCCTCAGCCCTCCCACTCTCTGGATTATTTTGAACAAACCCCAAACATCACATCATCTCATGTAAAAACTCCAGTATGTGTCTCTAAAGGATAGGACCCCCGCTTTTAAAAACATAAAATACCATGATAATACCTAAGATAAACTAACAATAATCGCTTACTAGATCATCAAATAGCTACACAGTGACCAAACTTCCTCAGCTGTCTTCTACCTCTGTTTCTGTTTGAGTCAGGATCCCATACTTTGTTTGCCTAAACCATAAACACTGAAGAAACCTGGGACACAGCTGACCATGTGAGACATGAATCATGGAAGGAGCGAATGTACAAACTAGTATCTGTCGATTCTTACGCCCTCTTCCGATTTCCGGGAGCACATCTGCTCATTCAACCAAGCTTTCCGGCATATCCGCTCTGTGCCAGGCACTGTTCAAGGCTGAATGAAAGTCTTTCTTGAACATAAAGGAAGTTGTGTCAGAAGAGATGAGGGGGATCACTGAAGCCAATATGCTAGTGTCCCATCCAGCCCAGAGGCCAGCAAGCTTTTTTGGTAAATTAGGCTTCGCGGGCCAGACAATCCCTGCTGCAACTGTTCAACTCTATTGCTGTGGCCCAAAGCATCCATAGACCATACGTTATTAAAAGACGGTGAAATTGTGTTCTACTAAAACTTTATTTACAACAACAGGTTGGTGGGCTGGATGTGGCCCACGGGCTGTGGTTTGCCAGCCCCTGGTCTAGCAAATCACACTCCTCCAGCACCAGCCTCCATGCTCAGTCCTGGGGTTTGACCGTCATACCCACCTGTTTGCTGGCTATGCGGAGTCAGAGACAGGACTGGGGTGCATGGAATCCATACTTCTCAGTGAGGAGTAAAGTGAAGAAAGCCTAAATGATAAAGAAGTTTTACAGCCAAGTTCTCTTACCATTCCAATAGTACAGGAACCAAGGCACTGACAGCCATGGGGAAACCAGGTCCTCCAACTTAGCTCGGACACGTAAAGAGACGTTGAAATGTGGTGGGAAACCATTTGACAGGCTAGTTGGGGTGAAGTTACACTCCGTCGTGGTGACGTTCATACAGTCCACGCCTATGTCCCTGGTGTCGTACCACCTACTGTCAGAGGGGCTGCAAAGGAAAAAAGGCTTTCACTTCACGGACTTCTCTCTTCTGCCACAGCCAGCGGTTTCCCCAGAGCCGATTTTTTAATAAGCAGCTTTCCTGAGATACAACTTGCAGACCGAAGACTCCACCCCAGTTAAAGTGTACAGATTCGAAGGGCTGTGCCGCCATCACCATGATCAATTCTAGGGTGCTTTTATCAGTCCCCCAAAGAAACCCCGTACCTATTAGCACTTGCTCCCCACTGTGCCCTAACCCCCTAAGCCCTGGGCGACCATTAATTGTCTACTTTCAGTTTCTACGGATTTGCCTCTCCTGGACATTTCTTACAAACGGGCTCATAGACGGCATGGTCTTTTCTGATTGTCTCTTTCCACCTGGCGTGTTTTCAGGCGTGATGCGTCATACCGTAGCCCCCTTCTGAGGGCCGAACACGATCCCAGCATACACTTAGAGTACATACCGTTTCTCTGTTCACCTGTTTCTGGACATGGTGGCTGTTCCCACTTTTTTGCTGTTGTGTGTAACGCTAAGAAATATTCACGTGCAAATTTCTTTGTGGAAATAACTTCTCAATTCTCTGGGCTGAACGCCTAGGAGTGGAACTGATGGGTCTAACTCTTATTTTAAACTGTCTTCCAAAGTGGCTGCACCATTTTACACTCCCAGCTGCAATGTACGAGGGTTCCAATTTCTCCACATCCTCACCAACGCTTGTCATTATGCCTCTTTTTTTTTTTTTATGGCCATCCTAGTGGTGGTGCTGTGGTGGATCACTGTGGTCTTAAATTCGCATTTCTTTTTTTTTTTTTAAAGATTTTATTTATTTATTTGACAGAGAAAGACACAGCGAGAGAGGGAACACAAACGGGGAGTGGGAGAGGGAGAAGCAGACTCCCCGCCGAGCAGGGAGCCCAATGTGGGACTCGATCCCGGGACTCCAGGATCATGACCTGAGCCGAAGGCAGTCGCTTAACCAACTGAGCCACCCAGGTGCCCTTAAATTCGCATTTCTTTGATGAATATTGATGTTGGGCATCTTTTTATGTATTTATTGGCCATTTGTATATTTTCTTTGGAGAACTGTCTACTCAAACCCTTTCTCTGTATTTTAATTGGGTTGTCTTTTAATTGTTGAGTTGTAAGAGTTCTTTATATACTCTGGATGCAAGTCTCTTATCAGACATTTCCCATTCAGTCCTGCAACTGATTTTGATTCTTCAAACTCAGCCTCTGTAGCCAATGTCTTAGGAAAGATACCGTGTTCATACAAACCCCACTCATGCTTCTTGCTGGTGTGGAGTTTGTTTTATCCCACAGCTGCCCATTTAAAGTTTGCATCACCCGTATGAAAACCCTGCTAAGGGGTGCCTGGGTGGCTCAGTCGTTAAGCGTCTGCCTTCGGCTCAGGTCATGATCTCAGGGTCCTGGGATCGAGCCCCACATCGGGCTCCCTGCTCCGCAGGAAGCCTGCTTCTCCCTCTCCCACTCCCCCTGCTTGTGTTCCCTCTCTCTCTGTGTCTCTCTCTGTCAAATAAATAAATAAAATCTTTAAAAAAAAAAAAAGAAAACCCTGCTAAATACGAGGTCACATATTCTTGTAAATGACAATGCATTCCCCAGAGTCCCAATGCCACACCCCCACATGGAACTCTACTCTCCAGCTTTAATCTCTGTGCTTAGGTGACAGACTTGAGAAAAACCAGAGAGGTGGCTGCTAGGGACCTCAGTGGGGGGCAGTAGGCTGTGTGCTCTGTAGAGACAGGCTATGCGCCCCACAGCATCTCTGGCCTAGGAAGCAAGGTTGGGGAGACAGAAGAGACGAGGCTGGGGATCCCTGCCACCAGCTCTCACACACCACACTTCTAAGGGTGCCTTTGACCCTGACTGGAGACTCCTCTGTCAAAGTGGCCAGTGGCAAGATGAAGGCCACTTCAAGATGCGTGGCCGTGGCTTCCGTGGAAGATGCTGCCATACTCACATTACCACCAAGCCCCAGGGGCCAGACTCTACTGGGGAGGGGGATCCCCCTAAGCACATGTAGCCCCGTCTTAGATTAGGGGTGTGCTTTAGAAGGGGTAAGCGATCTTTAAAAAGTTATACAGATACTTAGAGATACTCTAACCTTCTCCCCTGCAGATCCCAGCTGTTGAACTTGGGCAAAAGGCTCCCCACATTTCAAAGGCTCATTTCCCGACTTACCAGGGAATGGACTACTCCTGTTCCCCATCCTCCCCTCTCCTCCACTCTTGGCCCTGTCTCAGAACTGCTTTTGAACAATGTTTCTCCACAAAGGGGCCTAAGGGGGGACAAACCCTCCCAATTTAAGTGACAGCTGGCCCATGACAGCAGTTTCAGGGGGAAGTGCGGAAAAGGAAGCTGCGTTCTGGAGGCCGCCTCCCCCTCTCTTCGCAAAGGGGGTAAATAAGGGGATGATGTTGGCCGCACTTCAGTGACCCCGGCCTCGAGCACGGCTCCGCCCACCGCCAGACTTGGCCTCCTGTCGTGGCCCGGGCGTGGCCGAGTCTCACCCCGACAGTCCAGCGGGCGCCCCCTCACCATGTATCCATCATGGACTGCCTCTGACCCTGAATTTCAGTTCGAAAGCAGCCCTCATCATGAGAGGGAGCACAGCATGGTGGTTGAACACATGGACTCTGGAGCCAGATGACCTGGGTTCAAATCCCCATCACCTGCCTCTCTGTTCCTTAGTCCCTTATCTATAAAATGGGGATAAATTATGGTATTTGCCTCCCCGAGGGATCATGAAGGTTGCACCAGCCGACATTAGGAAAGTGCCTGAGCCAGGACCTGGTGCCCAGGAAGCACCATGTAAATGGTGCCAGGTTCCACACCTGGGCGACTATGGACTTCACTGTTTGGCCTCTGTTAGATCACTTCCAAAAATGGCAAGTGTCCCCTCTGACCCAGCAATCCCTCTGCTACAAATGAAGAAAACAATCAGATGATTTATGTACGAGGACCCAAGCTGGTGACCGTCTACACCCGCAAGTGGGGAAGCGTTAAATACATCATGTGTGATGCATCATCTAATAAAATGAGCAGTAAAAATGTTTACACAGAGACCATTAGGAGGAAAAGTGCTCATACACTTAACTATGTTTGGTTGAAAAAAAAAAGGGGGGGGGGCGCCTGGCTGGCTCAGTTGGTTAAGCGACTGCTTTCGGCTCGGGTCATGATCCTGGAGTCCCGGGATCGAGTCCCGCATCGGGCTCCCTGCTCGGCAGGGGGTCTGCTTCTCCCTCTGCCCTCTTCCCTCTCGTGCTCTCTGTCTCTCATTCTCTCTCTCTCAAATAGATAAATTAAAAAATCTTGAAAAAAAAAAAAAAAAAGGAAGCAGCACCCAAAAGCGTAACCCCAGTTTTGTTTCATTTTTACGCATACCCTAGCACATTTTCAAACCAAGTGCATGCATTTAGAAAAAAGTCTATAGAGAAATACGCCAGAAGGAGAACAGGGATTATTCTTGGGCTGTAGAGCACTAGGTTGTTTAAATTTTATTCTTTCTACTTTTCTGGGTGTTCTAGCCTTTTTGTAAAGAACACGTGTTGCTGTTAAAATCAGAAAAATAAAATGAAATAAAAAAACGTTTTCAGAAGACTGGGCTGGTCAGGTCAAGTTTTCTCAAAGTGAAATCTCCAGATTTTTTAATGTTGGCACTAAGTGAAAAAAAAAAAAAAATTAAACACTGGGGGTCAAACACAGCCTGAAGGCCACACTCTCTGCAACCCCTGATTTAAACTTGACATTTTCCCACAGTGCTCAGTGTAATTTTGGCTTTGGTTGCTGTACTGTCAGAAAACAGGCACCTTCATTTCTAATTACAGTAACGCTTTACTGTAGAGAAACAGGATGGAAAAGTTCTAAGTCCCACAAGTCTCAAAATGAAATTATTTCATGTCGCTAAAATGTCCCAAACATGTAAAAGTCTCTAAAAACAAAACAAGAGCAAAGGCCCGCCTCTCATCAAATCTGCGATTGGAAAAGAAAACAAGACCAGCCCTGGTTTCAGTTTCTCATTACCCCTCAACTTTTCCAAAGAAGGACGTTCACATTCACCCCATCCTTTGTTTCTTTTACCAAAACCAACCTCTATCCTGAAAAAAACACCTGCAAAATGCTTTCCAAAAGGGAAACGAAGTAAACATGTCAGTCTGGGAAAGGAAACTGTCAAAGCCTTCAAGGAATATTTCTACTATCTCTTGAACTCTGTCGACCCAGAGATGTACTTCCCCCTTCAAGGCTAAGGGATGTGAGTCAGGATATCAGCTGTGACTTCCTGTCACCGAAATCTTGTTTAGTTCTACGACATCATGTTTACTGAATGCTGAGGAGGGCCAGCTTCTCGGGCTCGTGACCCATGGAGGGGCACAAAGCCCCCCTCTGAGGAGGCACTCAGTTTGATGCTCGGCTGTCGCCATCTTGAAGTTCTCAGTAATTCTGGACAGGGGGCCTTGCACCATTTTCATTTTGTGCTGGGCCCCACAAATTATATAGCTGGTCCTCGTGGACTGGTCTGCTTACAATAGATTATTGGCACTTATTTGAGAAACAGCTAAATGTAATTCAGAGATGACCCCTAAACCCTGGTTTAGAATCGATTTTTATTAAGCAAATGTTGTTACAATGGACATTCAAAGGTGAAAAAGAAGTCACCTGGAGACGCACTCCTCTTACAAATGAAGTGCCCGTAATTTTTCCAGGTTCCTTCCCTGTTCTTGACCACAGATATGGTCCAAATTTTACACAGTTGCGACCACTACCAGATTATCCTTTTTAATAGTTGCCTAATGTTCAACTACTAGTTAACATGACACAATTTGGCATTTTTCTGCAGATGGACATGAATTTATACTTCAATGTCTATCTTCACGAATACCAGTGGCTTTTTTTCCTTTCCTTTTTTTTTTTTTTTTAAGATTTTATTTATTTATTTGAGAGAGCGAGAGTTTTGGGAGAGGGAGAGAGAATCTGAAGCAGATTACGCACTGAGCACAGAGCCCGACTCAGGGTTCCATCCCTCAACTGGGAGATCATGACCTGAGCTGAAACCAAGAGTCAGACGCTTAACTGACCGAACCACCCGGGGACCCCATTTTTTTTTTCTTTTTCTGAAGGGGGCTTGTATTACCTGCGTAGGGGGAAAGTGACGTGGACATTTCTGTGTCTCTAGCTCTATGGTGGATGACTCTGCTGGAGGGCTGTGCGAACGCGTCCTCACCCAGCACGATCTCCATCAACCACACTCTCCCAAGCACTGAGCATTACCATTTCCTTAAATTTTGTGTAACTGGTAATATAAAATGACTCGGCCAATAATTTTAACTTAGTCTTCTCTTAACCTATGTAACGAGGTAAACACGTAACAACGGAGGACTTCGATTCTGCCTTTCTTTTTCCCTTACGCGTTTCTGTTGCACACCGAGCGATGATAAACTGTGAAAGCGGGTGAGCGAGAGAATGAGGGGCCAGAAGAATGTGTGAAATGGAAAACCCCTTTTAGAAATCGAGAATTAGTAGTAATGAAGTGAATACTTTCCTTAGTAGGTCAAATCTGGCCCGTAAAGTTCGATAACCAGGTTTTCAAACTTGAAGAAGATGAAGGCTACAAGGTGCCTCCTGCCCTTTCTAGACAGGAAGCCCTCTTCTACACACCTCTCCTGAAACCAGTGAGAACAGTCTCCCCGCCCAACTAAGAAGCCCTGTGGGGAGGCAGCCGAGTCTCTGACACCAATACTGTCTAAGCCTTCGTGTGAGTGGGAGGTGGTGAAATCTCTGTCCTCCGAGATTTTTTTTTTTAAGGTTTTATTTATTTATTTGAGAGAGAGAATGAGAAAGAGAGAGCACGAGAGGGGGGAGGGTCAGAGGGAGAAACAGACTCCCCGCTGAGCAGGGAGCCCGATGCGGGACTCGATCCCGGGACTCCGGGATCATGACCTGAGCCGAAGGCAGTCGCTTAACTGACTGAGCCACCCAGGCGCCCTGTCCTCCGAGATTTTAAAAGTACAAGAGAAATATCTGCTTCCAGTGGATTTGCCCTCAATCCTGCCAAGAGGCAAGCCCGATCGGCTGGCCCCCAGCCCCCCCGCACCACTCCCCGTAAGGATGCCAACAGAAAGATCCAGCTTACTATTTGAACTGCACCTGGTAGACCACCGGCCTTGTGTCATTGCTCAGCGACCCCGGCTCCCAACTCAGAACCTGCTCAGCATTGTACAGGTGAACCTTCGGGTTTCGAGGAGCTGGCAGCTGGGCGCGAGAGTCTTGAAAGGGGCAGGGAGTGAGAGTAGGGGGCGGAGGTGAGAGAGAAATGGGGGAGGGTTGAAAGAGAAAATCTGATTACAACAATATTCAAATGCACGTCATCAAACCATTCACATAACTCCGTTCTTGTCAAAGTACAGGAATGGTTATTACCAGGGTCTCCAGGCATGTCCCCTCACCCCCACCTTTCACTAAATATGGCACCAGCTACACCGTCCATGGAAGGAAAGAGAGGCTTGGGGCCTGCAGATTCCAGTTCTTCTGAACGGGGCCCGGGTGCCAGAGTCCGGCTCGACTGGAATTCGTGTTCTATCTCTAATAAGCAGGTGCGGCTGGGCAGGTTAACTTGACAGTCTGGGCCCCACTGTCTTCTTCAGGAATAAGGGCTAAATAACCATACAGTCCCTAAGTGAACATTGAATTGGTGGCCACGGGACAGGCATTCACCCCAGACATGCACTGGTACCAAGGGAGGGCCTGGTAAACTTCCACACACGTGCACACACTCACACGCCCACGCCCCACACCAGGTGTGCAAAGCCCAAAGGCATGTGGAGGGTGAGACACGTCCTTTGGGCTTCGTAAAGAGTTGCAGTGTTTCCCAAGGACCCCCAGTATCAGAATCACCAAGGTCCCGCTTAAAATGCAGATCCCCAGGCCCACCCCCAGACCAGGAAATCCACGAACAGCCAAATCACACCCGCCCCTGGGGATCCACCACCAAGGTCAGAGCCCCGTCCTGGGGTGACCTGGGAGGCACAACCCAAGCAGGCACTTCACAGGACAGGGCTGGGGACCACAAGCGCAGGAGCCTCTTCTCTTGCAAGAAAACACGATCACGATGGGCCTCTCTCTGAGACTGAAAGACGAATGAGAAAATGCCCAGGAGGTGGAAAGAAAGGTTCTGGAACCTGCTGTTCCAGAATTCAGAGCAGGAAATTCAAACCATGTTTTCGGTAAGCACATCCAATCTCCGGGAATGGTGGCCAGCTCTTCTTCTGAAAGGCGCGTTACCAAGAGTCTGTGGCCACTTGTTTACTTCCAGAAGGCCCACTGTCTCCACAGCTCTGAGCTCAGGAGGACCTTCGTTCCAGTTCCTTATTCAACCGGCTAACCAACACTTCTGCCAGTTCACACCAGGGCCAAAGGCAGGCAGGCTGGGGCCGTCTGGAGGGAGGCTGTTCTGCTGGGCAGGCCCATCTGGCTCACTGAGGCTGCTGTGCGGACTGGAGGCCTGCTGCTGGGAGCAAGGTGCAGCACCCCCCACCCCCCGGGGGAGGGCTTCCTTAGGGCCGGGCACTGGTCAGAGTCAGAGTCTCAGAAGCCTCCTTTTACTTTCCTATCAGTTTCCTATGGATGCTGAGATGAAGTAGCGCCGATTTAGCGTCTTAAAACAACCCAGCTTGATCGCTTACAGTTCTGGAGATCAGAAGTTTGAAACTGGTCTCACTGGGCTAACGTCAGGGTGTGGTCGGGGCTGGGTTCCTCCTGGAAGCTCTGGGGGAGAAATGGCTCCTTGCCTCAGGCAGCTTCTAGAAGCAGCCCACATTCTTCGGCTCTGACTCCTTCCCCCAGCAACAATGGGCTGATTCCTTCTCTCTCTCTGTCTTTTTTTTAAGTGACTACCCATTTATTTATTTTTCTTAAAAAAATTTTTTTTTGAAGATTTATTCATTTATTTTATATAGAGAGAGCACAAGCAGGAGGGGCACAGGGAGAGGAGAGAGAAACCCAAGCAGACTCTGCACTGAGCACGGAGCCTGACATGGGTTTGATCCCACGACCCCCGAGATCACGACCTGAGCCGAAATCAAGAGTCAGACACTTAACCGACTGAGCCAACCAGGTACCCCTTTTTAAATTTTTATTTAAATTCTAGTTAGTTAACATACAGTGCAATATTGGTTTCAGGAGTAGACTTCAGTGATTCATCACTTACGTATAACACTCGGTGCTCATCACAACAAGTGCCCTCCTTAATGCCCATCAGCCCATCCCCCACCCACCTCCCTCCATCAACCCTCAGTTTGTTCTCCATTGTTAAGAGTCTCTAATGGTGGGGGTGCCTGGGTGGCTCAGTTGGTTAAGCGACTGCCTTCGGCTCAGGTCATGATCCTGGAGTCCCGGGATCGAGTCCCGCATCGGGCTCCCTGCTCAGCGGGGGGTCTGCTTCTCCCTCTGCCCTCTTCCCTCTCGTGCTGTCTCTCATTCTCTCTCTCTCAAATAAATAAATAAAATCTTTAAAAAAAAAAAAAGTCTCTAATGGTTTGGTTTCTCTCTCTCTCTTTTTTTTCTTCCCCTTTGTTCATCTGTTTTGTTTCTTAAATTCCACACGAGTGAAATCATATGGTATTTGTCTTTCTCTGATTTATTTCACTTAGCATAACACACTCCAACTAGATCCACATTGTTGCAAATGGCAAGATTTCATTCTTTTAGATGGCTGAGTAATATTCCACTGTATGGCTATACCACATCTTCTTTATCCATTCATCAGTCGATGGCCCTTTGGGCTCTTTGTATAGTTTGGTTATTGTTGATAGTGCTGCTATAAACACTGGGGTGCATGTGCCCATAAGAATCTGTATTTTTGTATCCTTTGGGTAAATACCTAGTAGTGCAATTGCTGGATCATAGGGCAGTTCTAGTTTTAACTTTTTAAAAAAGATTTTATTTATTTGAGAGAGAGAGGGAGGGAGAGAGAGAGAGCAGAGGGAGAGACAAGAGGGACAGGGAGAGAGAGAATCCCAAGCAGACTCTGTGCAGAGCATGGAGCCCAATGTGGGGCTCAATTTCTTTTTTTTTTTAAAGATTTTATTTATTTATTCATGAGAGACAGAGAGAGAGAGAGAGGCAGAGGGAGAAGCAGGCTCCCAAGGAGCAGAGAGCCCGATGCGGGACTCGATCCCAGGACCCTGGGATCGTGACCTGAGCCGAAGGCAGACGCTTAACCATCTGAGCCACCCAGGCACCCGTGGGGCTCAATTTCACGACCCTGAGATCATGACCTGAGCCAAAATCAAGAGCTGGATGCTCAACTGACTGAGCCACTCAGGTGCCCTCTATTTTTAATTTTTGAGGAACCTCTACACTGTTTTCCAGAGTGGCTGCACCAGTTTGCATTCCCACCAACAGTGTAAGAGGGTTTCCCTTTCTCTGCATCCTCGCCAACACCTGTCGTTTCCCGTGTTGTTAATTTTAGCCATTCTGACAGGTGTGAGGTGGTATCTCATTGTGGTTTTGATTTGCATTTCCCTGATGATGAGTGATGTTGAGCATCTTTTCATGTGTCTGTTGGCCATCTGTACATCTTCTTTGGAAAATGTCTATTCATGTCTTCTGCCCATTTCTTAACTGGATTATTTGTTTTTTTGGGTGTTGAGTTTGGTAAGTTCTTTATAGATTTTGGATACTAACCCTTTATCAGCTATGTCATCTGCAAATATCTTCTCCCATTCCGGAGGCTGCCTGTTGGTTTTATCGACTGTTTCCTTTGCTATGCAGAAACTTTTTATCTTGATGGAGTCCCAATAGTTCATTTTTGCTTTTGTTTCCCTTGCCTTTGAAGACCTGTCTAGCAAGCAGTTGCTGAGGCCAAGTTCGAAGAGGTTGCTGCCTGTGTTCTCTAGGATTTTGATGGTTTCCTCTCTCACATCTTTCATCCATTTTGAGTTTATCTTTGTGTGTGGTGTAAGAAAGCGGTCCGGTTCCATTCTTCTCCATGGTGCTATCCAGTTTCCCCAGCACCATTTATTGAAGAGACAGGGCCGATTCCTTCTCATGATGTCACCACTCTGGTCTGACTCTCCTGCCTCCCTCTTCGAGGACCCTTATGATGACACTGGGCCCACGGAGCCCTACCATCCAGGGTCATCTCACCATCTCAGGATCCCTGGTCACACCTGCAAGGTCCCATTTGCCATGTGAGGTCACACAGCCACAGGCTCTGTGGCTTAGGATGTGGATCTCTTTGGGGACCATACTTTGCCTGCCACAGTGCCCTTCACCATCCCGTCTCTGGGGAGGAGCCGTCTCCTGGTACCCCCATCTCCCAGATCCAGACATTCAGCTAAGGAAGGAAGCACCAACGGGCCGACCAAGAAGAGTGGACTTCCACCCCAACTGACAGGTGGCCCAGAAGAAAGGCTTCCCCGTAAACGTGGAGTCTCCAGATGAGCCCTCTACTTTCTTCAGCTTCCGTTTTCCCCTGGTGTGGGGAGCTGATCCACAGTTTTACTCTGACATTTGACTTTCCTGGAATCCCCTGTCTTACCACATTCAGAGACAATAACAGTCTTATAACTGAGGGTTTCACAATGAACCACCAAAGACTGCCCACTCATTAGCAACTGCCTCATCACACTGCCCTCTGCATCTCTCAGAAGGCCTGTCCTTGAACTGCCTCACCCACCATGGCCCCCACGGAGCCCTCCTTGTTCCTGGGAAACTCAGAGCCTGCCCTTGCCGCTCCTTCTGTGGAACCTTCTTTCCAGCTATGCCACAGCTCTCTCCCCTCCTCCCTCAGGTCTCTGCTCTTACTAGAGTGGTTTCCTGTGTAAAATGCCCAGGGTGCGGGGTTCCCTGTCCCTGCCTGACTCGTCTGCATGGTGCTTGTTCACCACCTGGGTCCTTTGTTTACACCACGGTGCTTAGGGGCATGGATTCCAGAACTAGATTGCCTGAGTTCAAATATGCACGCTCCTTAGGGGCTTGGGCAAGTTGTTTAACTTCTTTGTGCCCCAGCTGTCTCATCTGTAAAATGGGTACAGTACAGACTTCATGGTGTTGTTATGAGGAGAGAATGAGTTAGTTTCATGCTCGGGGCTGAGGACAGGGCAAGCACCTTGTGATCCGTGCCTCTCCTCATTGCCAGCAGTTTATCCACAGTCTCCCTGAACACGAGAGTGGGGAGCTCCAGGAAGGCTGGGTCTTGTTGGATTTGGGGATCGTTTTACCCCTCCCCTCCCCCCTTGCATGGAATAGCAGGCACTCAGGATCTGGGGAATGACTGGCCTGAAGCCCAGCAGCGTGCTCACCTTCAGAGATTACATAACCAACTTCTTGTCCTCAGTGGTGCATTCATCCACTGGAAAACCAGGCAGAGCTTAGGTTCCCCTTTTCCTTCCTTGCTTTATGCTTAAGTTCCTCCCTTTTGTCTGGTCTCTGCTGCGTCAGGGAGTGGGTGGACAACGCTGGGCTGTGACTTATCTGTTTGGCTCCAAAGAGTCAGCATTCTTAGGGTCATAGTGCCTGCTGTCAAAGGTGTCCATAAAGGCTCAGTCGGAAGAGAACCAAACTTATGGACAAAGGGCTTAGGCTGGAAGGCTGATCCTGCGACCTACAGCCACAGACCCTGCCAACAACCCAGCTGAGCCTCGGTTTCCTCCTGATTCGTGGAACAATGCCATCTCTCCTGGAGTTGTAGTGAGGGGCAAATGCAAGAGCACAAATGAAAGGCAAATTAGACACTGCTGTCTAAGTAAATTTCTAAGACGTGACTGTTTCAGGGTGTCCTGATTCCTCATGATGTGGCTGCTTGCACAGGTGGTGAGCAACAACCAGTCACCCAGACTCTGCCTTCAGGGACCTGCAACAGGGCGCTGAGCCCTGTGCTGAGCACTGTATCAATGGTCTGACTCCGATGTAGGCAGAATAGTGGCCCCCAAAGATGTCTGTGTCCTGTGATTATATTAGGTTACATGGCAAAGGGGAACTGAGGTTGTAGACAGAATTTAGGTTCC